GTTTTCTTTTTCACACAAATTGAAACCTTTAATCAAAACCTGGCGCAGGGTAGCTTCTCAGTTAATTCAAAGGTGCGTTCGGTCGCCAACTTTCACTTTACAACAAATGATACCAAAAACATCCTTCTGAATCAAAAGACGGTGATGGTTCATCCCATAAGCTAGGCAGTCATTATCTACCAAGAAGGAAAAAAAGCCCACTAAGTCAAAACCTATGAAGGAAACTTAAGAAAAACTGGGCATCCCGCTGACTGTAATCTCAAAACAAGAACAGTCAGGCAAAAATCAAGGATAACAAATAAAAAAAGGTCACTACAAATCCTCAACAACATGAAAAGTGTTTAAAAAATGACTGCCTTCCAACAAATAAACTTCCAAACATCTGAACCATCATTCCAGATTCAATAGGAGTTCAAACGCACAATTAACTGAGTTTAAGACTGGAGAACATCACGAATAACGGGCGGGTACAAATACACTTTGAGCCTTATCCTTTGTTTCTTAAACCGCGAACCAGACCATGATACAACCTTTCAAAGTCCTAATTGAAGAATGGGTTAGTCTGAAAGCATACTGTTACAAAAGGTATCCTGACTCCTGTAAGGTGTTACTCCAAATTCTGGGTTGAATTTTTGTTACTAAATTCTTTTATCTGCTAAAATGCATTTTCAAAACTTCAAGACAAGCATAAACTTTGCATTATTTGAATATCATTGTTTTCATATGGCTAATTATTTGACAGCGGAGAAATTCACACGACGAATATCCAGCGAACGAAAGCTCTCTCAGTGAACAAAATCACTTTAAATGGGATGACACTTCCAACGAAAAATCTAATATTAATCAAGGAGGCATGACATGTCACTATCCAACACATCTGGGGACAGTCGAGTCAAGATTCCCAAAAATCTCCCAAGAAATGTTGAATAACTAGGGGCAAGTTTATATCTGAATCACTTTGGGCATTGAAAGTGAATTCTAACAAAGGGTTACATACGGTCAAGCAAACATTTTATGGAAGTGCTACAACACTTTCTACTAGGGACAATGACAAATCTCCATGAAATCCCCTTCATAAGGTGATCCCTAGTTAAGTCCCCACAAAGTTGGATCAGGCAATTCCCAGCCATAGTTTTAATCTCTGGAAAACCTTTCTTCCCAGCTAAGTTTGGTCTCAAGAAGAATCCTCGAAGAGTTCTGCCAAAAGAAAACGCCTCTCCAATAGATTGGCAACATGGTTTATTTCCCCAACAAACGACAAGATTCACCATCTTGAATTTGCCTCCCAGATTATCACAAATCAAGGAACCACAAATCCTCTTCCCCAGTAGACCGCTCTACAATTACTAGTGAGTTACTACAAAACCTGGAAGCCAAACCAGATAACAGTTAACCTCTTTATCCCCAACAAGTTGTTAACTCCTTTTCTCTTCCATCAAGAGATAACTCCCCAGTAAAGCAACAGACAACTAAAACTCTTGAACTCCTTTCCCCAAGCAAGAATCAACACTCCCCACGGAGTTTTCTTCTCAAGCAAAATCAACATTCCCCAGCGGAGTTCTCCTCAAACAACAAAACAGGAATCCCCAACGGAAACAGTCTAAACAAAGTTTGAAGATGCACATACTCTTCATCTCCAACAGTAGTCCAGGATTTTATTTCCTAAGGCTCCCCAACATTTGTCAAGGATTTATTTTCCAAGACAAAGATACATTCCAACAACATTTCACATTTCATGTATCATATTACATACGTGACAAATGCATCCAACACAATCTCATTTATTTTGAGAACATCATTACGCCATACATTTCATACATCATGACATTGCATACAGCTAATTTTTTACCTTTTCAGGAAAGATCAGTCAACAAATAACTATTATCAACAATTTTCAAGTTCTAGATTAATACCTGAAACAAGACAGGACAACTATCTGTGAACAAATAGTTTGTAGATCAATTCCTGAAACAGGACGGGGTGACTATCTACATGACGAATACTTCCTTCAGACATCTACTGGTTCAGTTTAAATCGATCAATGGTTTATCCTAATTCCTTTCCAGTAGATATTTTCTCTGGTTCAGATAAATAGCTCCAAAGGTTTATTCTGATTCTTTCCAGTTAAAGAATATTCAAGACCTCTGCTGGTTCAGTTTAAATCGATCAATCGTTTATCCTGATTCCTTTCCGAGAGACATTTTCTCTGGTTCAGATAATTCGCTCCAAGATTTGTTCTGATTATTTCCAGTTAAAGAATATCCAAGACCTCTGCCGATTCAGTTTAAATCGATCAATAGTTTATCCTGATTCCTTTCCAGTAGAAATTTTCTCTGATTCAGATAAATCGCTCCAAGATTTGTTCTGATTCTTTCTAGAAAAAGAATATTCAAGACCTCTACTGGTTCAGTTTAAATCGATCAATGGTTTATCCTGATTCCTTTCTGGTAGAAATTTTCTCTGGTTCAGATGAATCGCTCCAAAGGTTTATTCTGATTCTTTCCAGTTAAAGAATATTCAAGACCTCTACTGGTTCAGTTTAAATCGATCAATGGTTTATCCTGATTCCTTTCCAGTAGACATTTTCTCTGGTTCAGATAAATCGCTCCAAGATTTGTTCTGATTCTTTCCAGTTATAGAATATTCAAGACCTCTTTTGGTTTAGTTTAAATATATCAATGGTTTATCCTGATTCCTTTCTGGTAGATATTTTCTCTGGTTCAGATAAATCGCTCCAAAGATTTATTCTGATTCTTTCGAGTTAAAGAATATTCAAGTCCTCTGCTGGTTCAATTTAAATCGATCAATGGTTTATCCTGATTCCTTTCAGTTAGACATTTTCTCTGGTTAAGATAAATCGCTCCAAGATTTATTTTGATTCTTTCCAGTTAAAGAATATTCAAGATCTCTGTTGGTTCAATTTAAATCAAACAATGGTTTATCCTGATTCCTTTCCGATAGACATTTTCTCTGGTTTAGATAAATCGCTCCAAGATTTATTCTGATTTTTTCCAGTTAAAGACTATCCAAGACCTCTGCTGGTTCAGTTTAAATCGATCAATAGTTTATCCTGATTCCTTTTTGGTAGACATTTTCTCTGGTTCAAATAAATCGCTCCAAGATTTGTTCTGATTCTTTCCAGTTAAAGAATATCCAAGACCTCTGCTGGTTCAGTTTAAATTGATCAATAGTTTATCCTGATTCCTTTCTGGTAGACATTTTCTCTGGTTCAGATAAATCGCTCAAAGATTTGTTCTGATTCTTTCCAGTTAAAGAATATTTAAGACCTCTGCTGGTTCAGTTTAAATCGATCAGTGGTTTATCCTGATTCCTTTCTGGTAGATATTTTCTCTAGTTCATATAAATCGCTCCAAGATTTATTCTGATTCTTTTCCAGTTACAGTCAAATTTAGACTTAGTCTAATTTCTGTCAACAATCACTTTTGGGTGGCATCTATAAGCCCATCTCCGACAACTATCTGTTATACCCCAATTTTCCCCCCTAAGATCCCTCATCACATCATATACATCTCATGCATATCATTGCTTCCATGGTTGCGAGATCAACAAAGAACTCTTGGCGTTAGGGTTTTCCCCCCTGAATTGAGGTTTCTATCTTAGTTGATTCAACTGGTTCTCTCATCATTGGTTGGTATGGAACTAGGGTTTCGGATCATAAGCATCATGGATATTTCCCTTTGGCAAGATTCCTCAAGATGCAAGGCTATGAGCTACGGTTTTGATTCATCTCTATACTTCAAGTCATCTCCTCGTCATTGTACCTCCAAATCAAGAGAATTTGGGTTCCTCCTAATTGCTTACATAACAAGTCAATTCTTCTCAAGAGGGCTAGAGGATTGAGTCAGGGTTTTCTTCTTAAGATAATACTTGCAGATAATTAAGCGCTTCTTTGGATTTTCATCAAGATACTTTGTTGACTAAAGAGTGAATATACAACATGGTAGGAGTTTGGGGATCCTTTATGATCAAGACCTTTGTTACCTTTTCAATTCCTTGATTGTTTGCATGCTAACTTGGATTTGAAGATTGAATTAGGTAATAAGATCATTAGGGGGACATATTCCTTTTAAGGTTGGTTCGAGAGAGTTCATGATTATAATTTGTGTGGAATGCCAAAGTTCTAACTCAAGCGTATTTCAACTTTCTCAAGAATCGATTCAAAAGGTAGAATAAATCATGGGGTTTGTTCGAAATGCAAACAGCTAGTACAAAGTCTGGGATTTGAATTACAAGGCCTCGTTCAAGATGTCGAATTTAAAAAAAAAAGCAATCAAAATCCTTTCAGGATCATTCAAATTTATATAGGTTCATTTTATTCAAGGTTCGTCATGTTTTTATTCAATTGGCATCCTTTGAGAATTGCAAACTCAAAGTTTTTATCATGATACAAATCTGCACTCAAGGTTTCGGATACAATGTCATGTTATAAGTTGCAAAATGCAATACAAATTAATAAATCTATCCAAGTTGGGAGATTCCTTACACCCTCAATCATTACATCATGTTACAGTATTGAGACAAAAGAAAAAAACAACAAAGCTATATAAGAAAGATGCAGCTTGGCGACATCAAAGCTAGCTTCCAACATAGTGCAATCTGCTTGATATTAGACTTGGATTTGAAAACCTGCATTCAACCAAACAAGTGATTCATGAATTGTTCGAAATCTGTGCCCTGCCCCTATTTAACCTCCAACCAGACCTGCAAATTTTTTTTTACGCAGTACCTTACATTAGTTCAATACAAAATTTCAACAAAAAGGCTCCCCTGCAATGAAGGCAGTTCAAAACAAAACCAATCCGTCCATAACCCTTACAGCATTCTTCTCACTCTCTCTTCAACCTAACAACCTTCAACTTCAGCTAGCTTCTAACGGAAATATATAGCTATTTTTTCTAACAGGTTTTTGATGTGTTGCATTAAGATATCGAAGCAGTGATTCAGGAGGAAAATAAGTAAAGATTTTTTTTTATATCTGAATGGCAGCTTCAGCAAAGTCTCTCATAAATAGCAATTGCACAAGAGATGGAGACTGGACAGTTATTTTACCCCGTCATGGAAGAAAAAGGAGAAAAGATACTGGAGTTTAAAAAATTTCCGAAGAAAAAAAAGAACCATGGGCTCCAACAGATTCTCAGAAAGATCCAATCAGAGAAACAACATTAATGCATAAAATGGAAAGATATATTAGTAAGATTGAGAACTCTCAATTCTATCAAACTTTCAGCGATCAGATTGAAACATCAATGTTAGATTATTTCCATATAGTTTTGGGCTCAGAGACAAGTATGCAAATGGTCATGTACGGTATCGGCAGCATTGAATTGTATGAGCCTTCATGTTTACAACTCAGCATAGCAATGTCGATGAAAAGAGATTTAAATTTGATTGGAAACATCGAGGTATTTGATCATGTTCTCTTTGTAACTGAGTTTCGGGTTTTGGAAGCTCTTGGTTGTTCCGTTATTTCCATAAACGAGCATCGGAAGCAAGAGGCTGTGAAGCCAACAATGTTCTTCATGCCTCGCTGCGAAGCAGAGTTATATAACAACCTGTTGCAGGCAAATTAGGAACCATATTTCTTAAATAACATTGTACTATTCGGGAATAGTTTTTCCAACTTGCATCCAGTTATTTCCCTTTGCAATTCTTTAACAGAATTAGGAACTAACCGCCACTAACAACTTCTAACAGAATTGGCAAGAGAGAGAAGCACGGAAAAATGGTTTCTGTAACAGAATGTAGAGTGGCTAACAGTGGAAAAAGAAGAAGGGAATGGATAGAGGGCTGAGAGAAATAACAGAAATATAAAAACAGAAAAACTCACCAGTAAAGGCACTCTCAAAAACTCTGCAGAAGGATCCTCCACCTTCACTTTCATCCATCTTTCTCACACTTCATTCTCCATTTTCTTGAATTCAGAGAAGAAGGACAAAAACCAGAAAAGCCCTATCTCTCTCTTCACTCTCAGTTTTATGAATTCTTTGCAACAATAAGGATCGTCATTGATCTCTCATCACCATCCTTCAGTGATCTTCATCTTCTTTCCCTCTCTGCACTTTATCTTCTTCAATCTCCTTCACTCAGTGACATCAATCTTCAGGAATCACAACCTCAACTCTCTCGGCATTCTCTTTCTCTAGTCTTCTCCTTCTCCATTCTTCACTTCTTCTAGAAGAACCACAAAAAAAATTAACAGAAAATCACTCTCATAATTCTGCACTCTTTACAACTTCATCGATTAAACCTTTAAATCTCCATCATCGTTCAAGCATCACCTATGGAACCTTCACCATCTCATACTTCAATATCCAACCTTCGTCAACACTGAAGCTGCTGCAACAACACAACAACAAATTTGCACTAGAATTTCAACTACTTGCATCAGCAGTGATTCTTCAATAATCTTCGTCAACCTGTTTCAATAATCACAGAAGTCGCAACAACATCACAATCAACGCAGAGCACCAAGAACACACAAGAGAACAATGCATTCGAGATGCAGAAATTCAAGTGTACCTGAAGATTGAAGTTCTCTGTTTTTCTTGTCAGCGTCGCCATTGAAGTTTCATCGGACAGGACTCCGATCGGTAAACCTCCTCCCTTCACCTTTTACGTTTTATGTTTGCTATTGAGTGCTTTAGTTAAAAACTTAAAAATAGATAGGAGAGGGATACAATAATATGTAGTCTACAGCGGTCGTGGTTTCGTCGGAAGCAAATTGAGACGCTTAGAGCGGAATCCATGAGCGATCAGACTCGAATCGGATTATCACGATGGACAGAGGCATTGCGATTTTGATTGGAGAAGGGTATGATAGCCACAATGATGAGGGTTTGGAGAAGAATGAGACGAGCTCATTATGAACAACAGGGGACGGTCGAACCATTTTCCGCGGTGGTGAATCGAAACTGAGATTTGAGCATCATTCAAAGAGAGAGTAAAAGTTGTTCGCGAAGAAGACGAAACATCACAACTTCTTGAACCCTAGAAAGCTAAACGACGCTGTTTGGTCCATTTAGTCATTATTTTCTTCAATTTTCTTTTTTTGTTTCATTATTAAATTGTTGGGAACCTGGATGTTAAAGCATTGGGCTTCATTTTCCTTGGTCCACGAAATTCAGGCCCACATCACCCTTGTTTTGTATCCTGATACATGTGAAAAAAATTGGCTTATTGGACATTTTAGATTGGGCCCTAGCGCCTGATTACTAGCTTACACCATCTAAAATTAGTTTCCACCCCCTGGTTCCCATATATTCTCTTATTGGATTTAGGATTTTCTTTTGTAGTTTTTTATATATGTTCCTTTTTATGTTCAAATGAAAAAATTGTAAAATCAATATAAAATCTGTTAGATTTTTCTATTTAATTTTAGGAATTAAATCTTGATTACCCGATTACTTAAGATTTGTAACTTACATTTGCATGTTGAGATTCGAGTTTTATGCAGGATATGAGGATGTGTTTTTGGATTCCGATGATGATTTATTTTCATATCGATGAGGTTTTGACACCTATTCTGAATATCTGATCTCTGACTGTTTGTTTGTTAATGTCAGCTCGCTTGAAGTATCCTGGATTTCGTTACTTTGGTTGCGCTTTTTTTGCGGACGTCATTGTTCGTTTTGTATTATACTGCTTCCAAGTTATATTTCCGCATTTATCGCTTTTCTAGATATCATGAGAAGTAGGAAATAAAGAGCGTGCGCTCTAAGTTTCTGTTTAAAGACCTGTAGCAGGCATTCCGCACTTCATTTCTTATATGTGTTGTGCTTGTGTTTGTTTCTTTTCTTGTTGATCGATGAGTCACTCAATTTAGCGATTGAGATCACGACTTCGCTCTCAGTGCATGCTCCCTATAGGATTTTATTGCTTTCCTTTATTTCTTTTTGATCGATGAGTCACTCAATTTAGAAATTGAGATCACGACTTCGCTCTCAGTGCATGTTCCCTATAGGATAGTTTTGTTAGACTTTCTTTGGCATGCTAACTTAGATAGGATCCCTCATTGTATGATAACATTAGTTTAGAGATAGGTTAGTATCCCTTAGATGTTTTCTTTCCATTTTTTTGCATAATTGCACTTAAAACTAAAACTTATTTTTCTTGGAAAATACATAAGAAATGCTAATCATACAAAAATTCTTTTCATGGTAAAAAAATACCAACCAATCCATTTCTTTTCGCCATTCCGCTTTTCTCTTCTAAGAGCATGTTAGCTCCTTTCTATTATAGGTCGTAAGTCTCCGAAGGTCGAGCAGCGGTGGAATGATCAAATGCAACATTGTTCATTTAAAAATACAAACAAATAAAATATATGAGCCGAACTACAGTAGCTCTAATTCCTCAAAAAGGATACGTAGGCATTGGGGTAGGGCCCAAGTGAGTACAACTTTATTTTCTCTACATTCTTTCTCTTTTCTTTGTATGCATTCTCTCTTAGTTTACAACCCTTAAGCATTATATTGAACACACCCTTTGATTAGAATAACGAGAGTGGATCCCGTAGAGTACTATGGACGTGTGGGTGCTATTATCTTCCCCTCGTGTAATCGACTCCCTTACCCAATTTCTCGGTCGCAAGATCTTGATTTCCCCTTTAGGTTTTTGTTTAATGATTTTGCTTTCCCTTTCATATGGGATAAATAAATACTCGGTGGCGACTTCATTGATTTTACCGCTACAGAAAAATGGTGACTTCACTGGGGAACTTGTGTCGACCAATTGTTGGTCCATCCCGTGAGTCACTCCTAGCTTCCATTTTTCTTTTCTTAGGGTGTTTATCATAATGCTTTATGGCTTATTCATTTTTATAACTTTGAGCATATGTTTGCATTACATCTTTATTTTTATTTGTTATATTGTTATTTTGTTGGTTTCTCTGTTTCTTTGTTGGTGGGTGTTACTATGAGGTAAAATGCCCAATACCTAGGCCAAGTGGAAACCACAGGAACACTAGGAATATAGTGGAACATGAACGGCTAGTTGACTTAGGTTTCACTATGCCTCCATGTCGTCCATGCTCAGATGAGGTACAAATGAGGGGCTATCATTTTCACGTAGGTGATATGGCGATAGTTTTTCAAGAGTACCCTCGATTCTGAGTTACCATTGACCTTACCATGACCTAGTCTTTACCCGTGAGTGGGGAGGGAATGATCTATACAGGTACAAATGGTGACTATACATGTTCTGTTGGTGACTCTGATTATACTGATGACTTTGATCCTTGATATTCCGAATTGGTCCGTACCTTTAATCGTGTTACATGTAACAGTGGTTCTATTATCAATTCAGTAACTATACGGAATTGCAGAAACTTTGATCTTATGTTCATTGCATTTACATCAAGGCATATTTATTTTATAAAAGAAAAGCAAAAAATATATATAACTGCCTAACCTGCATTTGCATTTCATTTCTAGGATTATTCTGAGGTCTGTCATCAGCATCAAAGATGGATAACAACATGAAGACAAGTTCAGAGCCTCTTAGAAACACTGCTTCTTATCAGTTCCCATGCTTTGGTGGTCGATTGCGAGAGGTGGGAGCTCTTGTGAAGGGACCAAATAAAAAGGTTTTCATAGGACAATATGGAAATTTATTGCTGTTGGTGAATAATGATTTTGAAGAATGGGCCGTGAGAACACTTCTTCAGTTCTATAATCCGCAGTTACGCTATTTTACTTTCCGAGACTATCAATTGGCACCAACTCTCGAAGAGTATGCGCATATTATGGATGTCAAGGTGACTAACAGTATTCCTTTTGTTCGTGCACCAGAAACTCCAGACTATATGGCGATCGCCAGAGCTCTTTATTTGACTCATGGTGAAGTTAAAAGTAATTGGATTAACAAAAGCGACACAAGCGGTCTCCCTCTGAATTACTTGATATCAAAGGCCAAGGGTTTTGAAAAGGACATGAATTAGACCGCGATTTAATGCACTACTGGCAGCAATGATTTATGGTTTGGTCTTCTTTCCAGTATCCGAGAAGTTAGTGCATTTATCTGCATTATGTGTCTTCATGAACGGTAACCCCGTACCAACTCTACTTGCCGACACTTATTACACCATCCATTCCCGACATGGCAAGAAAGGGGAAGTCGTGTGTTGCGCGATCGCGCTTTATAAATGGTTGATGATGCATATGCCTACAAAAGGGCCTTTTGTTCATACTGCTGATTCATCTTTATGGTCTCAGCGTATCATGGGACTCACCTCGTATGATATTGTTTGGAAAAGTATGATAGGTTTGAAAGAGATCATTATAGGGTGTGGAGAATTCCCTAATGTCCTGCTTATGGGGATAAGGGGGTGCATTAATTATAACCCTATCCTAGCACGCCGTCAATTAGGACTCGCGATGTTGGATAGACCCGGTGAACGGGAGGTGATGGATACCATTTATTTCCGTAAAGGGGAAGATGCAGTGTTGCTTGAAAAGGTGAAGATAGCATGGGGACATATTCAACGTAAAGGGAAACTTTCTTTCAGCCAGAATCGAAGTGTAGCTTATGATACCTATACGAGCTGGATTCAGGATCGTGTGAGGGAAGTGCGGTT